GTGACCGAATATAAAAACTGCGGATCCTAATATTTTGGCTTGATTTTATAGTTTTGTTACATTCATGTTAGGGTTTTTTTTCATTTTGTTCATACTTTTCTACAATATTAAACATTTGTTTTCCCATCAATTGTTATTTTTTGACCTTAGTGTCGTGTAAATACATAAGAAAATTCAAATTGGTAGTGTGAACGAATATTCAAGTGATGGATTTTATACTTTAAACTTGAGAGAATAATGAATACATGTAATTAAATATTTTGAAAATTGAATCTGAAAAAAGGCAAGAAGATTGCAACGTCAACGCAAACCAATGAAACAGCAAATTGAGCGAGAAGAGTAAGCATTCCAAATCTCTGTTTACTTCATCTTTTTCTTATTTGGTCCCACATTTGTTTGCCAGATGGATGTTTGGAGATAAGAGACAGTTTTTTCCATCCTTCATGATTTTCTTACTAGTAATTTCTGATTTTACAACATCTCTCCGGAAGATAGTCATGAACTGATTGTTGCTATAATGTTAATTAGATGCCACTACGTTATACGCTATACTTTAATACTTCATTATGTACGATGACTCATTGTTTCCTTGTACTACGAACGTTTGCTACTATTGTCTTCCTACTATTTTTACTGTGATTTCCTTTATGTGAATTTTCTTTATATTATTCACATATGTTATGTAGTATTTGTTTTTGTATTATAATTACTTGTGATCTGCATTAATTTTACTATTAAAAACAGGTTCTCCTGAATCGCACCTTTTTGTGCGAATGTAACTTGTAGTATTCCACATTTGTTCAGATAAAGCTTATATTATTATAAGGAGAGGAAGTGGAGGGCGCGGCGCGGCACCGCAGACGGAGGCACCGTCAAGGCGACCGTCGGCAATGCGCTATCAGCACATCAAAAGGCCAGAACTTCGTTTCACCGCCCCCATCGCTGCCTCTGACGGGCAAGGGCCCCACAAGTGTTGCGCAGTCTCGACGAGAAGGAAGACAAGAATGAAGCAGTGATTTCTAAACATTTTCTTGCATTAACCCCTTTTAGAAGAATAGTTTGCTTAATCCGCTTCTTCAATTTTTATTTTCTCGTATATTACTAGGTACGCTGAGTCACGTCAGGTAAAAAAAAAAAGCACACCAGCTTGTTCCTCACAACAGCGAGAAATAATTCCTATACCGTTTTGGCCTCCGCAGGATAGATAGTAAGCATAGATTGTAATTTTTCGATATTTCGTCGCAGTGTCGTATATGATTCAAAGCACTGTCGAAGACTCAGGAGGTCTTTAGCGACATTTGCAAATAGCGAGAGCACTATAATTTTCCGGCCGGCTGGAAGACTAAGGTGATGACATAAAATCTGTCTTCGTAAGGCCCCACGCGATACACGACTGTCGTAATTTGAATCCCAATTTCAAGTCACAAATTTGCGTTTTTCCTAATATCTATCCAAAATAAAAACAACATATCTTCAGACCTTCTGTTCAGAAGGAATGGTCGAAATCACTTAAAACTCGGTGTATGTGAAGAACAGTGCATCCATAAGAAGTTGTGCTTGTCGGACATTGTCCTGCTGAATGGCACGTGGAGATACTTTCAAAAGGGACAGTGCCTCGGGACAAAACCTCCCTGATAGAGCGGTTGTTGTTCTGATTGCCCTCAATACGTATAAGGCGAAACAAATTTGACTTATCTCTCACGTCGTTAATATTTATACTGGCGATAATTTGTTCACACTATTATATTTACTTTACATGTGCTTTAAATAATGACATAAAAAGTTTTTTCTAAAACTCAACCGTTTTCTGTTAAACGCCATTTTCTCATAAATGGCTGCAATTTGTTTCTTCAAACTTTACGAACTCTTTAATATGTCTTAAAGTTAATTTCGAGTTGTTGGTTTTTTTTTTCAAAGATCTCTAACGCCGTTAATACGCTAATTTCCAGCAATTTGTTAACACTATTGCATTTGTGAGTAAAAATGCTTGAAATGAAGTTTTTCGAAAACTCAACAATTTTCTGTTTAAAAGGGTTTCAAATTTCAAATTTACGGTAGCGCATATGTGCCATTTTGTTAAAAATTGCTGAAAATGGTTCAAAGGAAATTTAAATATAGGACGAGGTTTTACTGTTTTCTTAATATTCTTAAAATAATATTTCCGTTTTACTTTTAGAAAAGCGAAAAATTAAGAAAATTTCAGAATTGATCTTTGGGTGGCGATAGATGGCAGCTGGCAAGAGTAAGTGGTAAGTCCGAATAGCTAGCCGAGACCAAAGGAAATAGAACACTGATGCGAGAAAATTTGTGAAATTCTGTAGCACTATATACTAACATATACTTTCTCGCTCCTTTATAACTGTTATGTAATAATGTTATTCTTCAATTTCTGTTTATATCAACACATCTCAGTCTACGAGCACTGACATCAAAGAGCGCATGCAGCGATGGGCGCTACCAACAATGGGTACATATTTTTTTATCAATTATTTCAAAAGCACCATTTTTGTCATCAATGGAACTGTTTTTCAGTTTGCATTGGTGGTTTTATGAAAGTTCTTCTAAGGCATTCTTTACGGAACACTTCCTTTCCATTCAGCACTAACATGAAATAAATCACGTTTTCTTTATACCTTATATATTCAATGCAAATATCACAAATACATTAAATAGAAACATGAACAATGAAAGAAAAGCAAGTAATCCGGTAAAAGTGACAAATCTCTTCAACCAACACTTTTCTCGAATTACGGCAGAACACACGAAGGGACTAAAACCACAAAATTCAACATCATTACCTTCCCCAAAAATTTTCGACACGATGTTTATTTCCGAAACTTCTCCTACTGAAATCCTAAGAATAGTCAATTAACTAAAACATGAATATTCATGTTAGATGCTTCTTTATGCACAGGAATATTACCAGATATTTTCAAAACAGCAACAATTAAGTCACTTTTTAAAAAACGGAATAAAAATGAAATTAAAAATTACGGGCCACTTTCACTCGTTAGTTTTGATCGTTAGTTTTCTCGAAAATATTAGAAAGGCTTTTCTATACGCGAATGGAAACTTTTCTCAACGCGAATGGAAACTTTTCTAAAGAAAAATGAAGCGTTTTCAGACTCACAACACGGTTTTACAAAATCAAAATTTATGGACACTACCATTTTTTCTTTTCTTAAAGATGTTGCTTCATCAACGGTTCACAATGAAGCACCCATTGGAATCTTTTTAAATCCTTCGAAAGTATATGACGTTATTGACCAAAAATCTTGCTATAAAATTACCTTCTTATGGAATTCGTCGTATCGCCCTAGAATGGATAACCTCGTACCTTAAACATCGATCTCAAAGAGTAGAAATACCATACTGGCACGAAAGGACATTATTTACTTATCTTTCCAATTCTTAACCAATTGAATATAGGATCCAGCAAGGTTGGATCTTAGATCCTATACTCTTTGTGTTGTAAACGATATGCCCTCGTCTATTAAAAACGGAAGAACAGTTCTGACTGCCGATGACCCGAATATTTTTTGCAAGAAAGAAACAGTAAATAGTACTATTTCAGAAGTTTCAAATTGATTTAGTGATAAAAAATCAGAATTCTTTCAAATTCCGTCAGCCTTCATGCAGTTCGTTGCGTGTATTTTGCAAATGTACATTCCCGCCAGAGATATGGCATAATATTCTGGGGAAACTCATAATGTAGTACTCAGACCTTTAGATTGCAAAAGAAAATTATTCGAATAATGCAAAAATGCCATCCACGTGATCTTTTCATTGAGCTTGGAATCTTACTACTGCCTTGCATATTTTTTTATGAATCTGTAATATTTGTCAAAACTGGGTTACTTAACGATGGGGACATATTTTCATTCCTGATAATTATAATTACAACACACGTCGTTCATCGTCAGAATCAACAGCTCACTATCAGATATCCACATGCATGTACGTTACTCAACAACGCATTGCCAGATGAGATTAAACAATTGAAGTCGATCAACAAATTCAAGTTAAAAGTAAAATATTTTCTGCTGCATAACTGTTTCTATACTTTTACAGTCTATACTGTTCATCAAAAAGAAAAATGTTTATTTTAGCAAAACAGTGATATATAATGAATAAGTTTATATTTGTTTTGTATATTAAAAAAGAACGTAATATGCTTGTAACAAATAATGTACTTCAGCTTCCGGGTCAATAACCCCCCTCTCGATCAGATTTTTGTCCAGTTTCCCTGACCCATTAAGCAAATCCTTAGATGGCCCCTTGTTTTGCTTCTGAACGTAAATGTAGTTTCACTGTGCGCACATTTTGTTGAACTCTCCTTTTGCTTATAATGGTAGGAGTAGAAGTAAGGGCGAGTTAACTATTTTGTTGGCAATGCAGAAAAATCATATCTGCAATTCGTTTACCGATGCAAATAACTTTTCTATAACTCTGGAACGAAAATGTTTACTTTTTTTCAAATATTGCAAATCTCTTTTTTCAATTTTATTTTTATTTATTTATTCATCTTTAACTTTTACTCATCTATCAACTATATATAGTTAAAATTATGGGAATGGGTTCTGGAACTCAAGAAAAAGTGCACAGATGATCTCTCCCATACGTCACATACTGTTTTTTTACTAAATAAATCTAAATAAACCAGGATGCCTACGCGCACGTTTTCTTGAGCCCTGGAACACCTACCCCCACTCCTTTACTAATATTAGTTGAATGAAAAATACAAGAAAGCAGAAGCGTTCTTGTCAAAATCTGATAACAAGAAATATTCGCTCTCTTATAATAGAAATTATTTTGCATTGCAACCACATATTTTGTATAACAGTTCTGTTGACGAAAGACCCAACCTCCTCACACCTTTTGCATCTAGCTACGTGAGGGCTCAAGAAACGTGTGAGGATACACATACCCCGATCTTATGTTAAGTAGTCTACGACTGAACACGTGCTTCTAGTTCAATATTTCCACACTGCGTGAATTAGCGCTGGGTGCAGATTTTCCAAAATGGATGCTTTCGTAGAGGCGTGGCGTCCGTTCTTGGCCACTGTTGACCACCTTAAAGTAGGTGCGCGCGAGTAAGAGACATATTCTCAAATAGAATACATAAAATATTTCAAAACTATTTTATCTCCAGAACATGTTACACGTTGTGTACTCTTTTAATTCTTAGAAGGTAATGAAATTAGTCCTCCAATGTATCAACAGTAATACACGTTTTCTATAAATCTGTTTGAAATTCAAACAGTGACGTTATGACTTTCTCCCTGCGTTTAAAATTTGGTGAGTTCCTTCTACAGATATTATCAATGCATGTTGTGAGTAATCGCTTCCTTTCATAGCATTGAAGGACTACTTTCATGAAGCTTTCACCTATTCGATTTCCTTAATGTAATCGCTTCTTTTTTTCTTTGATAGAGTAACATTCTGTATTAAACAGTAAAATTTTTTCTACGCTCTTTTAGCACTTTTACATTTAAAGAATGCTTATTCTCACTTCTAAAGTAAATAGCATAAAATAGTAATATTTGTGCTTGTTATGTGACGAATTGACATTATTAGAAGTACCTACCGTAGTTTTTCACAATGTCACCAAATAATTTAAAATTATTTATATTTATTATTTCCTTAGTGATGATTATGTCGCAAAATAAATACAATAAATTTTAGTTCAGATGTCAAAATAAACATGCATGCTTTCCCCCAATCATCCCTCTTAAAAATGGGGATGAAGATGAGACATGTATAATAAGAATTCCCTCTCATGTACAGAGAAAGTGATATTAAGAACCATCTCTATCTATAGCATTTCTTTCAAACTGAATTAATCAGTTCATTGAAATATTTGAATTCTGTTTTTCACATTCTTATCTGCATTTATAATCATATATTCTATTGCTAATGAGTAGAAATATATCCATATTCTACTTGCAGTAAGTGAGATGAGGATTGAGCCTTTCTATTCCCTTAATCCAGAATTAATAATTTTAATACATAATATACGCAGAGATTACAAAGATACAGGAGAAAGAATATTAAGGTATATTTAAGAAAATTAATGTCAAGTGTACAAGAATAATTCCTTTATATGTACATGTATGTACCAATTTAATATATGTTCTCCAAATCTAAAATTCTTATAATCTGTTCAAAAATGTTCTAGAATATTGGAGTGTCTTTGTAGCAGAATCCCTCTATTTTTACGATTGCATAATTAACATTCTAATTTTTAAAATTTTCTTTATTCTTTTTTCTCTACTGAAAATATATTTTCTCAAAAACACCTTGCCCTACATATGAGATAAACTTACAACAATAAACACACAAGTGCATTCATTATCAATTATTCTCCTTATTGTGATTATTTTGAACTATCAAACTAAATCATGAATTTGTTAAGATGTTTTAAAAATCCATTATCTCAATCACTAAATCAATTATTTTCTTATGAGGATTATATTATTGTGTTCAGACCCAGTTTGGAGCTTTCATTTTACTTAATTATCAGTATTATTTACCGATTAATTACTAATTCATTTGATTTTTTTACACGAATACTGGGTGCAAATTGGCAATTTTCTTCAATGGAGGACATTCAAAGATAAAAAGCAAGTGAACAATCACAAGGTGACATGGTTCCAGAGATGTTTGCAACTGAGGAATTGCAAGTGATATGAAGATCTTCTCTTATGCAGCAGCCAGCATGACTCATAATGCTTTTGGAAAAGTTTTCTTTTCCTACTTCCTTGATGCACAGACTGATTATTTGAAATATAAGTGAGACCCGCAGAAATGGATTAAGCGTGTTTCTGGTATGGATTATTTTTTTGTCAGCAGGAGATCTTTGACTTTTTTAAGAAGAGGGATGGGGGAGGCAATCACCAGTTTCATCCCATCAATTCATAACCCTGCATGATTACATCAACGTCTTAAAACAAGCATGACTTCTTGCTTCAAGAAAGGCACGAAATAAAAACTTGTAGGGTTGGTGAAAGCATGGTAGCTGCAGTTTTTTAAATTATTTATTTTGTAGCTTTTTTACTTTCTCAAGAATGGTAAAGACGACAGTTCTCTAAATCATCCTCACATTTTACACTCTTCTCCGAGGCTAATTAGCAGAAATTTTTGTAGCTACACCCTCCAAGTAGCATTATAACATTCAGCTTTTTAATTCAAGTTAAAATATTACCAATTATGTCTGTACAAGTAGTAATGATGGCCAGTTCAATGTTTTGCATTTGATTGTTTAAGGATGCCTTATTTTGCTGGTGGTTAGCTGGTGCTTGTTCATGATATATTTGGTTACATCTCTCGAATTTCAATGGATGCCTCCACTTCCATTACTTCAATCTCTCCAGCATCATTCCGAGACTGGAAGTACAGAAAAACAGGATTCTTTGCCAACGTTACTCAACTCACCTAGTGTTCAGATACCATTCACACTACCATTGAAACCTTTACATCAAAACCCAACAACAGATTCAACTTCAACTGGTAGGACATTGCAGTATTACTACTATTTTCTGGTCAAACTTCAATAGCTCACAGTCTTTTTTTGTTCAATCCCAAAGCACTACCACCTACAACTACAATCCAGGTAGTTATGGCAACTGACAGCAAGTGTCTAGGTGGTTTAATTACTGCAATAAATAGTATCCTGAGTAATACCAAACACAATGTTAAATTCCATATTGTCATAACAGAAGAAGACCTTCCTCATCTTAAGTGAGTATTAAATTTTATTTTATTCACTTATCCAGACTTACATATACAATTCTATATTTAGAAATGAAATTTTGAAATGACACTTCTTATATCTTCTACTTGATAACAGCAGAAAGGCTAGCTACAAATCCACATTCTATATCTTCACTCACAAATAGGATAAATGCTCTTCAGTGGTTCAAGCAAAAATTGGCTAATAAAATTAATATTTACATATAGGTTTATATTTATAATTAAATACAAAATAAAATTAAAGTCCCTTGTCAACAAAACGCATTTAATCTATTTGTCTTGCACAACAGAGCATGGATAAGATCGTCTAAACTGCATTCTATATCTTATGAAACACATTCACTAAGTGCAGTTGGAGAAAGAGTTCAATCAGAACTGCAACTAGTTAAAGCCAGTTTTGGATTCATCTTCCCAGATTTAGAAGGAAGAGTTATCTACATGGATAGTGATGTGATCATCCAAGGTGACCTGTGTAAAAATGTTGTGGATTGTTCAATTTTTGGATTACCTACTATATTAAACTAAGCTTTTCAAATACAATTTTACACAGGTGATATATGGGAGCTTCACTCTGTTATCATTGAGCCAGATACATTTGGAGCATTTGCACAAGATTGCAGTAGTTCCTCATCCCGAATGGCCGGAGCAATAGGGCATCCAAGATATGCCAATTTCATCAATATGAAAAATAGCCGAATCATAAATAGGGACATAAACGGTGGACTATGTCCATTTACATCTGGAGTGTTTGTTGCAAACATCACAGAGTGGAAAGCCCAAGGTGTTTTTGAGCAACTTCAGAATTGGCTGGAAATACATTCTGTGTAAGCAGACTATTCTAGAGAAAGTTCTTACAACAAAACAAAGAATAAGTAACTTATTTGACAACCACAATATTTCACAGAGAACCAATAACAGGAATTCACCCTGGAGTAAATGCAGTAGAGGCTGCAATGCTGATAGTATTTTATGAAAAAGTGACACCATTAGATCCTTTATGGCATGTACAGCATCTTGGTGAGTATAAAATTAAATGATTCATTTGAATAACATGTTGATAAATGTTATTTTCACAAATTCAAACTTGTTATTTCCTTATCCTCTGTACTTGTCAGACCGTTCTCCAATAATCATTGGTTACACCAACTGAATTTCTTAATGTCAACCTACCTTGCACCCATCATGCCACATATTTGGATTAATGCCTCAGGTTTTGTTCTTCATTCCTTCTCTTCTTCCACTAGCTAACAACGCCTCAATCAATTGTAATTGTCTCTAGGTGTGGGCCTTAACAGTCGATATTCAAAGCAGTTCATAGAAAGGGCAAAACTTCTTCACTGGAGTGGGCACTTCAAACCCTGGAGACACAGAGCAGCCCACACTGAACAGTGGGATAGGTATTTTGTTCCAGATCCCACATTACAATTCAGACCTCTTCGCCGACGAGGTTAATATTTTTTCTAAAATTCTTATAAAAATCTTGGAAAATGTCAAAAATGGCAAGTTTCCTACAATATACCCACCTCATGGAAGTAAAGTTAAAAAAATGCAGGACATACCATACCAAATCATACTGTGTGTGACTGACTTGAAACTCCTCATAACAACTCTATGCAAACAGAAGAATTCATAAATATTTTTATCTTCATCTCTATTAATACTTAAAACGCCAAAGAACATTGATCCAAATACCTTACAGAACTCAAACATATGCTTAAGCTACAAACTAAAAACACAATTTGTATAAACCAGTTTTTTACCCAAAAGCACAATTTAAACACTAATATATAACTTTTCATTTTCAAAAATAAACCACTTCATACACAATCATAGCGAAAAAAAAATTATTACAGTATACATGAAACTACGATTTTCACGAGTTATTTGGAAAACATAAAATGCTCTTTCCACCAATTTAATAACTCTTCCTGATGTATACTCTGCATGCTGCGAAAGAAAACTGAATTTAGGAATTGACAACGGGCTTCCTTCTAATAAAATCGATTGCTTTGTAGCAAAACTTTCAATATACTCATATAATTGATCTGAAAATTAAGTTTGGATTCCAGTTGTTTTGGGGTAAAAAAAAGAATAGAATGAATAGCTATTGAGAGGTATACGCTTCAACTTGGCAATAATCCATCCACTGCTTTAAAATTTTTGCACTAATCAGAAGATGTATTTTAGTCAAACATGTTTTTAATTTTAATACCCAAGTTAATACTGTGATGAAAACCTACATGCAAAAGTTTCGTGCTCTGTTTTACTCAGCACAGAAAATAAAAGTAAAAATCACTGTACTCCGACAATATTAATCATTCTATAATATAGATTGCCTATTACACCACCACAAGTAAACACTGCATTTTGGAAGATTTTTAGTCTTTGCTGAATACATTACAATGGTAATTTTATAAGTGTTTCTACACTGTTGTACAAGTGTAGTGCAATGAAATACTTTGAAAATTTTTACCAATTCTCATTGAAAGAGTATTCAATATGGGAGCATATATTACTGCACATTATGTACTATTTTATATACCTTTTATTGTATTATAAAGTTAGGAATCATCCATTGTACTTCTTGGATTTTTTTAAGAAAAATAAAGTATTTACAAAGCAACTGTGTTTTACTTCCTGGCTGTTTTGCCAAATGGAGTGACCATAAAGTAAAAACATATTACTTTTCAGAACTAGCAAAGTAATTTTATCAGTAAACCTAACTTAACTAAATAACTATTTTAATTAATAAAGCCTTACCAGTAACAGGGTTGGGCAACATTTAAATACTTGTATTTGAAGTTCATAATTAAATACATTTTATATTTGAAAAACTATTTTTGAGTTATGTGGAGTTGTTGTAGCAATGTATTTAAATTCATAAAAGATATATTTTATAAAATTAAATACTCAAAATATAGATGAAGATAACAAGGATAGTTTATTTTGGTTTGATACTGCTAGTGAATGGCCCTCATTGAAATAACCATTTCAGCTGTTAAACTGGATTCAATTCACCTTCAAATGATAAATCTAAATCGTTAAAAATGCTGAACAATTATCCGATAGTAAAAAAAAGGTGTTTATTCCTTTATAACGCTAGTTTATATTCATTGCCAGTTCAGCAAATTTTTTTCTTTGGCAAGGTTTATACATTTGCCACCTAGAGGTATACTCTCACAATTTGTTTGAAAAACTAGTTGTCTTGAAAGAAAAATCCATTTATGAGTTAAACAAAATTTTAATACCATTTTCTATTGGTGTGAAAGCATAAAAGAAAGTGTTTTATATTTGATGGGTATAAGTGACTGTTTTTGTGAATACACAAGTGAAATTTAAGGTTTTAGTTATTGTTCAGAAATGTATGACTATCAATTAGTAATTTATTGTAATCGACTATTACAATATATTGCTGCAATAAAAAAAGGTTATAATGCAAAATTATTGTTTTCACTATTTTTAGAGTATTTGAAATACTTTTAATACGTATGTATTTAGCAACTCAAAATCTAATGTATTTTGAGTATGTATTTAAATACTTATTTACAAAGTATTTTGATGAAGTATATTAATTCTACATTTAAAGTATTTTGTTCAACCTTGCTACCGGGTTAAAGATTTTAGACTCTTGCTGCCAATATCACAACGGAGGATTTAACGGTAAATGGAACTCAGTACGGCAAAAAAAGCAAGCAAGATGGGAATTTATGCATGTTTTAAAAAAATATGAAAGTGCTAATTTCATTCCTTTTTGTTAATAAGTTAGTTTCTTTACAACGTCAATTTCCAATAAGAGTTTAGGGGCCCTTAAATTTGAATGGGGCTCTTCTTGACAAGTCACCACTGCAAAAACCTCTATATTTTTCAAAAGAAGGGAGAGATTAGATAGAGAAGATAATGATCAGTCTCCTATTTTATCAGGGTCGTTAATCAATTTCTCTATAAATATGATAAATCGCCAAAATTTTAGAATTTGAAGTATAATCCATCAGTTCAATCCCTAGCAAACTGTAGCTATCCTTACTTTTAATTTATTAGAAGAGCTTGCTTCAAAACAAAAGCTTACACACCAATTGCTCCATAACATACTGTATATCACGGAATGTCAATTATCTTAAAAGTACTCTAAAGCAATAATCAGCAAGTTAAACTAAGAAAATGTTTAACTAACTTAGCCTTGCAAATTCGACAGAACTATTATTTGTCGGTTTTCCATCAGTGTTTTATAAACAACTTTCATATCAACTTACCAGCCATTTTAACAATTTACCTCCACTAATATGACAACAGCCTCGACATGCAGATTCATTACTTCAAATTACTCATGGCTCTTTTAATTGTTACCAATCATGCAATGACTTGAATTATAGGTCTCCTGAATAGGTGAAACTGTTGCTCCACAAAATATCCATGTACCTCCCTCATTACATAAGTAAAGAAAGACGATCTGGAAGTACTATAAACCAAGCATACAAGCCCCTTTCTGAAAACCTATTGTAACAGGTCTACAACAAAAATTATAATAACATTTTTGAATCTTGCATCTTACAGCACATGGAACAGAAGACCCTAATACAAATAATAGTTCCATGTAGTAGGAGTTAATGTTTCGTGATTTCAAGGAACTCAAATTTGCATTTCAAGTGTCAGGTTTATTTTGATGTAGAAGACAATTTAATAATCTTTCATACTTTTTATAAATAATCCAATGATACACAATTACAATATCCAAAGGTCTTTTGCATGATTCTATCTTGTGTATGTATATTAATTACCTCCAAGAAATACATTATCTCATTCATCCACAATTTCACCACTATAGAGCAACCAGATTCACTCTACCCACAAAAACTAACTACAAAAACATCTATGTTATGCTCTGATTTAGCTTATATTGAAACTAGTGCTTCCAACTATTGAAAAAATATATAAGATATTAGCATTTTACATAAAGCAGCAAAATTAACAATTAAACAGCAAGTACTTACAAACATCGAGATGATACGTTTCTTATAGAGAAGATAAAATTCTTCGTTACATGCTGTTAAATGGAGGGGGGAAATAGAAAGTCTGATTCAACAGAACAGTCTTGCCCTTCAATGTAATTTTGAACACTTTTTTTCGGTTTAAAACATAATACAAGGTAATTCATTAGCTGAAACACTTTTTGTCACATAACAAAACTTGTAATGGCACTTCACTGAAAGATATAAATGTTCTTGTGTAGCTAATTAACCCTCTCAAGCCTCGCAAATTCATACCAAGTAGTTACAAAAGACATAATTTACTAGTTGTAACACTTCCATCTTCAACAAAACGAATATCAGCCTCTTGAATGCAGGCATTGTCTCCAGCCCAATAAATCACATGTAGGAAAACATCTAACAAAAATAAAAACACCCGAGGAATGTTCTCAATAAAAACAACAAAAAGATGATAAAATCTTTATATTCATACGAAATAGATAGGAGGTCGAGCCTATGAAATTAATTTGTGCATGTTGAATTGTTTTAGAATGTCACTAGGTAGCTACAAAAATGTCTAAAATGACCACACATATTCAATGCCTAATAATCATAGACTTGAAAGGGTTACAAAACAATGGTATGTTATATTAATTAAAATAATGAACAGTGAAACCTGAATTCGAAGAAGCATTCAAATTCACTCTATTTCATATCCCTTACCTCTATACCTTTGCGAAACACAAATATCCATTTACGGTATTCATTCCTATGCTAATACAGTATTTTATAAAATTTGACCTACTTTTTCTCTCTGCAAACACATTACACTTACAAGATGAGGCTTACATTTTTGAATGCCCAATATAGTGCCTTATGAATCACTTTCACTCTGTAGCACAGTAAAGCCTACATTAGCAGTGGAACAATGATAGGAAACGTTTAAATCCACACACACACTGCCAAATAGACTTTGCACATCATAAAAAGTAAATATACAAAACAAACTTTGAAATCAAAAAAATTTACACAATAAAATAACACTAACAACTCAATAGGATTTTAAATCCACATCATACGCAGCATTTACTGTACTTGCATAGAACCCTGTGGAACACAGTGTTCTGAGCTGGTCCACTAGCATGAATACTGCTCTTTCTTCTAGTATTGACAGCAGCTTTGTAGGTCACTCAAATGACTTGCGCACGAAGAGAACATTAGCATTAAACATCTACACGGAGACAAACAAGTTCTGTAATTTTGTACAAAAATGTAGGATATTACTGAGGAATTATAGAGTAGGCACACACAAGAATGTCATTTTCCCCATGTAACACTTAATCACACAAGCATCCCACGCTAAAAGAATTACATCCCTGCCACCAAACCTTTCCAACACAACACATCATTGCATCGAACTGACCACTTATTACTATTTGTCAAACAAAGGACATATGACATTCAAATCACTTTCATTATGAAAAAATTGTTTCAGAATGAAAGGTTAAGAATAACAATTATGTGATACTAGTGAGGATGATGTAAGGTACTAGATTCAACTTAATTCCAACACCCATATATCCATTTACTAGAGCTATATTACTAAATTCCACAGAGAAAAAGGATTACAGAGGATTTATCTTAAAATGACTTGGAACACAGCTAAGCAAGGCTTTACTGTATAAAAATTATTTCTCACTAAACAAGGAATGCAAGAAAACTCACCAGATTCAGAACCTGGTAATCACTCATGTAAACACATGCCCTGTTTAGACAGTCAACTATGAAATATTACTGCACACTCAAATCTATTTTAATGGCATTTGAAATAAAGTATTTACAATGTAAAGATATGACCTGGATGGTTCAAACGAGCATGAACAGAGGATGTCTCATATTCATAGCAGCCACTACTATAATTTCCTGCCATGTAGCATACAAGGTAACTGAACAGTGATGATGAAATTTCAATAGGCCTCTCTCAGGAGCAGCTTACTTGAATGTGCCTTTACATTCATGCAAAAGTTCTGTGCGCACACCTAATATCATAATGCTTAAACCGAGTTTGCCACAAAAATAAATGACAATGTACATCATACTCACCAATTAGGCAGAATTTTTTTTTTTTTGTTGTTGAGAGCATAGTACATAACAGGAAATGTATGTATGCCTAACATCACTACTGTGAAAATTTGATCTTGTACTTGCTAATATTTCTTTAATATATCAACACAGTTTACTTATAAAATATAAATATGCCATAACTACATCAGATATAGAATTATTTATAAGTAAAATTTATTTAAAAAATCCCACTTTAAAATTCCCACTCTGAACCATCCTTCATTTACATGCAGTTTTTTTCCACAAAAGCAGAGCTACACAAGGACATTGGATTCTAGCAAAGAACAAATTAACACAATTTACTCATAATACAGTCAAAAAAACCAAACACACATTAAAACCATTTATAAGACAATTCATATAATATTAATTTTCATTCGATCACTTAAAAGTGCTTGATAATTGAATGTAAAACTTGAACCACAAATAGTGCCCTGACTAAACTAAACATACAAAAACTAATTTTAAGTATTTAGTTAGCATTTCTATGGATTGTCTAGTTACATTTTAAAAGAACTCTATGAAGTGACTCATGTCCTTGCAATTTCTTTATCCATAATAGCCTTTTGAGACAAACCAGTGGGTAAACATTGCACAATAATTTTAAACAAGGTAATTTAAACCTAAGGAGTAATAGGATTCTCTATTTACTGCTGCTGGAGAACAGAGCCACAAGCAGACAGGGAAATTACAATGTTCAGGAAATGGGTAAATACTTAATAATTAATGCAATGGAAAACATTGTTAAGCAGAAAATGCTGCCATTGTAAATGCATTTTGAAAAAAGGAGTAGGCAATATTTAAACACAGTTCTCCATAACTGACCGATTCAAAATTATTTATTAAAAAACAGGAATGAGGATGTCATAGGATAGGATGTTTATTAATTTTTTGGATGTAACATCAACAAGCTGTAAACAAAGTATAAAACCAAGTAACAGTTGAATTTACAATGAATCTACAAAAAATGTAGAAGTACAGCAGCATTTTCTGGTAACTTAAGCCTGTTAGGATAATGAACCAACTCAGTTGCTTACCACCACAAGGTTTATCTTCTATGTTGTATATAACGTCAATTACAGCACATTATTTGCAGAAACCAAAGAAAAAAACAGAGACTCACATCTCAATACTTAAAACTGTGAAAAGGGCAAAAAGTTCTCTGTCCCTCTTTCTACCTCTCACTCTCTGCTGTACAGTGTTGTCACTTGTATTTAAAATAAGACGCATCACACGCCCAACGGGTCTGTAATCAAAAAAATTTTATTACAACACTATTAAACTGCCTATTAAAAATTGCAGCAATGTGTTGTTCGATAAAAACAATAATTACAAATTTTAACTTCATTAATTTACTTATAAACCATGACAGAAAGAAATTACAGCAAAATATCTTACATCATATAAAAAATCAGGTACACGCAGGCGCTGGGTCCACATTACTCTGATGTCGCCTTCTGTTCTTCCGCTGGAGCCTTGTTGTTCTCAACTACAGCAGGCTTCTTCTCTGCATCACCACCACTTCCTGTTGTTGGAGGTGCTTCACTCTTGGTCTCAACAGCAGGCTCTACATGGGGCTCACTACTATTCTCCACCGTTTCAGCTGGTGCAGACTCCTTTTCACCAGTTGATTCTGGCTTCTCTGTCGATGTCTCTTTTGGTGCTTCAGTAGCAGCTTCATTTTTAGCACTGGATGGTTTTTCCTGAAACATTTTATTGTCAGTAACACTTTCATAAGCAAACACAAATTAAACTTGTATATTTTCAAACCAAATTAACAATTCAAAACACACTAAAGTTACTATATCATTTGAACTATAGATAACAAACAACAATTCAACTCAAAATTATCATTATTACATTTTGTGCCTCAGAAGTTGCACCGTCAGCATTATCAGTTGGTTTAGGTGATTCCTTTTCAGTTTTTTCTCCATCCTGTTGTTCCTTCTTTTCGGGAGTCTCAGGGGCTGGCTTTACAGGAGTTTCATCCACTTCCATCTTTGAATCCACTTCATCTGCCTTATCATTCTTCGCATCCTTTTTTTCACTTGTATCATTACTTGTTTCCTCATTATGATCCTCATCTTCCTTCGGTTTGTCTTCTTCAGCGTCCTTCTTTGGCCTCCCACGTCTGGACCCTATAACATTTAAAATTATTAATGTACACTTGCATAAAAAATACACATTCACTTTTCAAAGTTTGCACCACATTAATAAGGTGTCTAAAATTTATAATTAGGAACTAACCTCTTCCTCCTGAAGGTGGGGTTTTCCTCTCCCTCTTAACAGGTGGGGGAGGGGTGGGAGGAACACCTCTAGTAGATGATCTTGTTCTGCGGCGATTCTCAACTTCTACAGGAGCAGTATCTTCCTTCTTAAATCATAAAATAAAAACCAAATCAATCAGTCCTACACAATACCAATTTACAATGCATTTCACCTAATTTCGAAAGAAACATGAAATAAAATATTTATTAACATTATTCTTTCTAAAGTCAATAAAAATACTTAATTTTTTATCAACTACTTAGCTTCACTAATAAAACACAAAGAACAGGATCCGTTCTGACACGCAATATCAAACTCCCGAAATTCAAAATATATTATTCAATATTTCTCCATTTTCATGAATTCACTTAATTTCTTTTATCACTTTTCAAGGAATTTCGACCGCTCTACCGGTTGCCGCCATCCATGGTGATGGAGCAGCATCTTATTTGGCGCGTAATAGTAAGTTCTTTCCATTCCCGCCAGATGGATATCCAGGGACGAAGTTTACTACATCCCGCCGTTGAAGGACACACAACATTTAAAATTAGATGCGACCTCTTCATACTTGAACTAGAGCATCAATTTCACTTTCCATATCCCCCCAGGCCCCCTAATTACTAATTTTACACATAATCTGCATGGAGTTCACGTAGTTTCCAGATAACTGCCGCACCGTTTCGTATCATCATCCGTAATTCTCTCATCACGTTGAGCCAGCATGGAATCAAATCTTCTTACGCTTCCAGAACAAAATATATAACCATACCTTATTGGTGCTATCCATCGCGTTCTCTTTCTTGATATCCGCTTTGTCTCCCGACATTTCACTAGCAGTAAAAACACTCAGAGACACCGAAAAATCACGAATATTTCGAAATCGTTGGAAACCCGGTTCCACTGTTTATACAGCACACAAAGATGGCGGTTAGCGTGGGTCACGTGACCACACTTGAACTTCAAAAATAATGTATTGCAGAGCTCTCTGTCGTGCGCGACGCACACTGAAACCTGCAGTTGAAAAGGCGGAAAAATCAAATACGATTTAAACCGCGGGAAAACTCGTGGCACATTGCTTGATGCCAATGTGGTTCCTTTTTTAAAAAAAATAAAAATGCATGCTGATATTTAAACAATATTCTGTTTCTTTTTAATCATATAAATATTTCGGGTTAAAATAAACAATTTATTCAGCATATTTCTTTATTTGCATGTAAACAATGTTTGACATAGCAAATATATTTTACTCTTCACAAAAAACACATACAAATGGTACTGTTTAACTACGAATTGACAATAAACATACAAAAATATGACTATTTTTTCACTCTACATGAACACAAAGCCCTGAAATTTTATAACAAGTGTAGTTTTTGTTAATTTACCTCAAATACACTACTCTTGAAAATTATAATACATTGAAAATCATTCTGCAGATGATGGAAAACCTTTCAATATTCTGTTATCAATTTTATTATTTTGAAAAAGATCATTGTTCATAAAATACTCCAGAATATTTACATATGTGTAGCATATATATATACATATTTCAATTGTACTATCCAGCTGGACATACTTCTCACAAAGTCTATTACATTTCGTCAATGCATTGGCATTCTTCTAAACCAGAATCGAGCTCTAAAATCATCAGAACATGTAAGAAATGCTGGTGCTGTTGGTGAATGAGCAATGAGTCTTACAGGACCATTGTGACCTACAACAGAAATACAAAATTAAATACGGAGACAATGAAAGACAAAACAAAAAAAAATCATTTTCATTTTTGTAGCTGTCAATAGAATTGACATTAGAAGAAAAACATTTCCTCACTTACCCAGAGACAGTAATTGTTTTCTTGAAGCATTTCGTGAATTCCAAGCACACAAAGATGTTGTTGCTTCATCAGGAAAAAGGACATAATCTTCTGTGTGGTTAAACACTGCTTGAGCCTTGTGTTCTTGTTTTCCTGAATTTAAAAATACATATGAACTGTAGTTAGTAAGAAAAATTTAATTCAACAAGGTTAATAAGAAAATTTTTTTTAAATTCAAATTTCCATATCTCAAAAATTATAACAAAAAACATACTATCAATGCTAAACATATTATCCATACCCCTATGGATAGGGAATAAAAACAGCAGTGAACTTTGTGTGGCAGTTTCTATTAAAAATTGAGATCTGATATGTAAGTGTTCAGGAAAATTTGTAATATGTAAAAATAAAAATAAAAAATTGATTTAATGTGAAAATGGTTCAAAAGAGAATTTGTTCCAATTACAGAAGCATTATGCAAAAACTCATCTTCAAACGTAAACAAAATTTTACTAAGCCTGACACCACAAAAGTAAAAACAAAGCAGAAAATAATAATCCATGGACAAGATTGTTCCAATTCCTTACTAACTGGGAAATTACACCTGCCGGGACAAGAAGAAAAATTTAAAGGAAGAAGGAAATTCACATTTTTTGGAACTTTGAAGGTGGGTACTTCATGTTGTGAAAAAGATGTAAAATTCAAATATTTCATCATTATTCCATAGTGCTTATTAACGCCTTTTTTGTTTTGTTTTAGAGACTCTTTGTTCCATTATTTTTAATTTGTGCCTTTACTCAGTAGCTTTTCAAATCTAAATTAACTTTTTACTTTGTTTTCTTTCATTATGTCATAATAATTGCTTCTAACAAAAAATATTTTTTATGACAGTATGATAGAACAACAGTTTCACACGGGTTAGTCATTAAAAGCATCCATCTCCTAATTATTTTCTGAATGCTTCAAGATATCGAGGAAGAATTTTCATCAAACGATTCAGGGCATAGGAGCTCATCAGTTGAATTTATTAGCTTTTTTTATATTTTAAATATATTTGTCTTAACTTCAGTTTTGAAGGGAGCACTATACTTTTTACATGAATATGTAAGTCTCAAGAAGACAAATTCAGCACTACTACATATGATAGTATTTAATGAATAATTATAAACACTAATGGGTTTTAAACTAATGGGAGTTATAGAAGATTTAGAGGTTGACGACGCATCTGCATTCTAAACGTCTCCACGGACCTCATCGTTCGGCGGTTCAAAACGCCACGGATTAATTTATCTAGCGCATTTTGTGACCTCTAAACGACAATCGACACCGCGGTACAGAAGTATAACTGGGGCGTCAAGTAAACTTGAATGATAAGTTTGTCGCATGCAGAGAGTGAGTGATGTAGTGCAATGAGGCCCCGCGGCGCGGCATTTCTGCGGATAGTTTATGTAGAAACGTTTAGATATTTTTGGCCAATTTATGTTGTTATCAACAATAATTTCAGTAAAAAGTTATTTCGTTTTATTAACGGTGGAAGTCAAAAATACATCAGAAAATTGGCGAGTGACAACAAAATGTAATGTCAATATCTCTATTACTGAAAAAGGTGAATGTCACGGAATATGGCTATTCCCACAGTGAAGCACAGAAACGTATTTCTCTATTTTTTGAAAATCTACCTCGAAACCGTTTAAAACAGAGACAATGAGCTAGCAGTGAGAAATGACGCACAATGATTTCAAAATATCGGCGACGTAATGGTTACTGTGGGCAGAGGTGGTTTAACAACTCCGTCGCCTGTAGGCATGCGAAAAATCGAAAAACTGCCCTCTTCAAATAACTCTGAAAAAGAGTTCATAATAAAAGATTTAAGTATAATTAATGTTTAAAACTTGGACACATATTTTTACCACTAAAGAAATATGATTTTAATTAATGTTCATTTTTTCAACGGAAATCAATTAATTTCTAAATTCATATACTGTTTTGATGAAAATAAATAAAATAAATTCATCTATTTTATTTACTACCTCGTGGTAAGGAAGGAACTCTTAAAAAAAACAGCTATTAATGCTGCACGAAAAAACGAAAAAAGTAGTTAAATCCATTGCTAAATTTAGAAGAAAAATCCTCTCACACGTGGTGCAGCCAGAATCCGTTTTGTGAATCCTTGATACCGAAAAATCGATTGACGGCAAAACGTCTGTCCGTCTGCCAACAACGCTAGCAGCTCATCCCTTCTGCAGATATTTTCCGAAATTGATATTTCCTAATCGATCTGGCTGATGTTACGGCTCCTTGAATTTGAATTCAATATTTTAAAGGGGGGGGTAATTAACATGATACCCTGGCACATTTTCAAAAAAAATGTCGCCATCCATTTTGATTAATTTTTGGTGGGGGGATACTCTGAAGGATGTTCAACGGAATGGCACAGGTCTCATGTTAGTTGAAAACTCTTGATTTTACGAAAATAGAAAAAAATCGAAATATTTTTCTGTGTCTTCCTGCAACTAAAATATTGAAGAAATATATTTTTGTCCTCAATAAAATGTGTTCCATCAAGATAGATTTTGAAATAAGCTCATGCACATTTCCCCCCCGCAAATTTGAGTATTTTTCGCCTAATATTGCGGGAAATACACACTTTTTACTTTCCCGTATACGTACGGAGTAATATAAACCCATCTTGATCAGGTTTTCACCCAGTTTCCTGATCCTCGAGCAAATGTTGATGATGACCCCTCGTTTCGCATCTGGACATAAATGTAACTTCAAATTAACTTCTCCCCATACCGTCACACACAGTTTTTAACTGTTTTTGACGTAAATAAATAAATAAAACTAAATCTATGGAAAGTTATAAAATGCCTGGGTAAACCGATTTCGAGATTTCAACGGAAATACACGTTTTGGGGTCCCCTGATTCCAAAAAAGGGTTGTTTTTTTTTTCAAAATGTCCGTCCGTCTGTATGGTATATGTGAACTACACTAGCGTCTAAACCACCTAAACTTTTCGAATCGAAGCTCTGCGATTTTGAAAATCATTCGTTAGTTTTTAGTGGTACTTTACATAAAGCCCCTGAGACATTTTCAAAATTTTCTCAAAAATGTCTCCAAATATATTCTTTAAACCTTTTATAAGAAAACAGTAAAATAACTTATAAATGTGAACTTTCACGGTTTACTATGAATATTAAAAAAATTCAAAAGTTTCATTTTTTTTCGGGGTCTACCTAAAAACACGAAATTAAAGATAAGAGATTTTTTCTTCAAATACAATTTGTTGTTAATATTTGTTCTTTCATTAAGGCCACAAATGACGGATTTCATTAATGTTTCAAATGACGTCTAATGAAGTTTCTCCAAAACTCAAAACTTTTCTGCTGAAAACTGCTTCAAATGTCGCATGTACTGTAGTGCTTAAGCGCTATAAAAACGGATCTAAATTTTTCAAAGAAAATTGCCAATTAGGTCGCGGTTTAACTGTTTTAATATTCTTAAAATATTTTTTCTGTTGTATTGTTAATAAACCGAAAAGTTAAGAAATTTTTTTAAAATATATTTTGGTGCCGATAGATGGCAGCAGGCAAGAGAATGTGGCAATTTCGAAAAGCTAACCGAGACCAAACGAAATAGAAAACTAATACAGGAAAGTCTGTGTCATTCCGTAGCGCCAGTAGTTAATTATTGTTTAATGATTTTTTTCTCAAAAACGGCTCCATCGTTTTTCATGAAATTTTGTTGATGTATAGTCTAAAGAACATTTAAGAAAATGGTGCAGGTCTCATGTTGACTGAAAACCCCGATTTTTCGACAATTGAAAAATTCAAAATTTATTCGACGTTTTCCTACAACTATAATTAAGAAGATACAATTTTTACTTACCCGTATACGTACATAGATACGAAGTAATACACGTAGTATAGGAAAAGTTACATAATATTGCGAAAAATCGATTTCCAGATATCAAACGGAAATGAACGTCTTGGTGTCCCAAGGCACCGAAAAAAATTTTTTTTTTTCAAAATGTCCCTCCGTCTGGTATCTGTGAACACTACTAACGCCTAAACCATACGTATGATTTTTTTTTCTAAATTGAAGAAACCCGTGTCGATCTGACTCCAGTCGAATCTTAGAGATTTTGACAAAATTCTTTAAAATATGGGGATTCTTTACATAAAGCACCCCGGACATTTTCAAAATTTTCTCAAAAAGGCTTCAAATTTTTCCTTTCAATTTCTTGTAAGAATAGAGTAAAATACACTTTTAAAGGTGGCGTAAGTCCGATTTTCATGTTTAAGTATATTTTTTTGAAAATTTCAAAATTTTTCGGATGTCTTCTTATAACTACAATATTGAAAATACAGATTTTTACTTCAAATAAAATTTGTCCTCCACATTGTGTTCTTTCATTAAGATCATGTATATTTTTTGGAAAATTCTGGTTGTTTTCGCACAATATTGCGTGCAATTTGTGCAATTTAAAAAAAATACAAAAACAAGATTTCCTCAAAAACGGCTACAGAATTCTTCTTTAAACTTTTGGTAGGGATGTATTCTAAATGATGACATAGATGCAATGTTGGTCTATTCTTTTGTTGTTGTATTTTTTAAATTACAAAAATGTGATTCTTTGACTTCTCTCCCGTTATTTACAGTAGCAGAAATTTGCTCACATTATTACACTTATGAGTACATGTGCTTCAAGTATTGGCATTTAAAGTTTCTCGCAAACTCAACCGTATTCTGTGAAAACTAGCTGAAAATTCCGCATTTTTAGAAACGCTCAAACGCCATTTTCTCTTAAAAGGCTAGAAATATTTTCTTCGAACTTTTCGAACGGATAGTGTTAATTGCACGCTTTAATGGGACAAAGTTGATATCGCGGATTTTTTTCCCTTCAAAAATTACACAAATGTATTTTTTTAAAGATCTCTCACGCCGTTAATATACACATTTCTATCTATTTGTACACACTATTATATTTGTGAGTTAATGTGCTTGAAATGATTTCAAATGAGATTTTTGAAAAATCAAAAATTTTCCGTGACAAAAAGTGTTAGATTTGTTAATCGAATGCCTGTGCTTCCACTCCTAAAAACGCTAGCGGCTAAATCTCTAAATTGATATACCCCAATTGATCAGAATGA